GACTTAAGTGGATCCTGCGACTCGATTCGAAACCACGATTCAAAATTCCCGCGTTCGTGTACTTTAGAGATGACAGCGGAATCAAGGTCACTGCACCCGGAGCTCTCAGAAAATTTCTCTCGCGGCTTGATTTACGTTCCGCCGAGAAAATCGGCGTCCTCTGACCCTCCTGTACCAACCTTCGCAAACCCAGACGGATTTCGTGTCTTCTTTTCGTGAAACTTGAGCGACATAAACAAAGCAAAATATTGAAACACTGTAGGACAAAATGTGACAACAGTGCTTGGGTCTTGACGCCATTAGAACGGATGCTCCCTTCCCTCGCCGCCTTCACGGTTCACTCGTTAAGGCCAACATCAGATCTCTAAAAGCACTAGAACCCTTCTTTCAACTCCTATCTGCCTCGAACACTTCTCTCTCTTATCAATATCACGAAATATTTCTTACAAAATGTCTGATGTGGATATTCAGCATGTACATTCCTTTCCAGGCTTTAAATTCGAGGAGTTCACGGGGATCCATTTCTCTCGAGCATTCGCAATCGCCTGTTGGGAGGCAACGAGCATTTCCGAGGGCAGAGTTCACCGCGCAATTACTGCAAAATATTAAAATAGCCTTTACACTTGTACGGGTTTTTATACCGCATAAATTGCACCGGTTCATATAGTTCCTTACCGATAGCCTACCAAAATGAAATACGCTTATTGACCAGTGTATTTCACTCAAACAATTCGGCTGTTTAAATCCGATCGATTCAACGAAACGTCACGTTTGCATCGAAATTTGCAAAAATAAAACAAAATGGGGGACCCCCGTTCACGCGTCCATCCAAATATGAATTAATAGAATTAAATGGAAATTAATAATCCTGCGGATCGCGTAATTGAGGACTTGAAAGGGGGAGGGTGCTGCGGGGTGGCTTCCCCCCTTTCGTACTGTCATTGTCAGCTGACTTAGTCGGGTTCATCGTCGATTCATCGTGCCCGACAAGGTTGTTATGACTTTTTTAACACGTCGTTACGTACTGTAACATGCCTACGCCGTCGCTGACACTACAACGTGAACACTCGTGAAACGAATCCGTCGACGGGGAACGGTTCACGTTCAATGGGAACGTTGCTCGAACCCACCTGCCTAGCCATCGTGCCCAAGAACATTAGTTAGGTTCGCATAACCTAATCAGACACCTCGGACACATGATGCTACCGATCAAGTTTACCGAACAGTGATACGTTGATTTATTTTTTCAGAAGCTCGAGCGGACTGACTGGAAAATTATGTGATATTTCCATTCCCCCCTTTGGATTTTTCAAAGTGATGGCTTCTATTTGTCGCCGTTGGAGACTATGGATTTTACCAGTCTTAACATGTCTCTACGCACTGCTCATCATTATCCTGGTGCCTATTTTATTGGCGAACTCTATTAAGACTGGCTTTAAGAAGCAGGATCCAGGAGCGCTGGTCGGGGGTGCATTTGTGTTGCTCGCATTGCCCATCGCTTTCTATGAAATCGTGCAACACATGATATATTATACGCAGCCCAGGCTGCAGAAGTATATAATAAGGTGAGTCGATTGTACAGTTGGACTGTAAAATGCAGGATTAGGATTTGTAACATTATTGCAGATAATGCGATTGTAGATAACAGTATTATGAATTGTAATAGAACGGATGCGTGTGTATATATATACATATATGTATGATTTAGGACCTGAAGATCAATGACCTGTATTGATTGACCTTTGATATACTAAATGTTGAGAGATAAAGATATCAGTGAAGACCAGAAGCGAATAAACTCACTGTTTATACAGTCTGTAAACTCTAAATTTTGTTAAAATCATATAGAATTAATGTTAGTATGTTTTGATAATTAAATTTAGCTATGGTATGAATATAAAAAAAAAATAACAAATTACAGATTTACAAAAGACATTTCTTTCATTACATATAGTAAGGAAATTTCTATTTAGTAAGTCAAATCTACACTCTCAATTATCAAAGTGAAGGAAACAATGTAGAACTGATACCATTGAAAGAGCAACAGATCAAAGTTCACATTCCTGGGAAACATAATTGCTATCATTTCCTAACAAAAATTCCAAGTGTGTACTAAGATATTTTTCTAATTTAAGTATGTATGTAAAAAAAAGAGATTCAATTTAATTTTCACTAACATTCACTTTGTTGATTTTCCTAAAACTGTTATATATTAACATCTAACTAACTTCCAACTTGCTTCCAACTTATTGCTACGCAATTTTCCGAGCTGTTTCTTATACACACAGATATCGATTTAACATTAATATACCGGGCACTCAGAAAACGAACGACTGTAATTTAGCGCTTAAGCTGTTTTACAATATAATCTCTACTAATCGCGATTACGATAAAAATCGCTTTGAAATTGATACATGTAACTATAATAATTGCGAATTAACCGATTTATTCCAGAATATTATGGATGGTACCAATTTATGCAGTAAATGCTGTAGGTATACACTATTCTGTTTTACAAAATCGTGCAATATTCTTTCCTTTCATTCTATTAATATAATACTGTCTTAATTTTACACAGTGGCTTGGTCTGATTTATCCAGAAGGAAGTATACACGTGGATAGTCTAAGGGAATGCTACGAGGCATATGTAATATACAATTTTATGATGTATTTATTGGCCTACTTAGATGCAGACCGTCAGCTAGAACACAGACTGGAAATCTCTCCCCAAGTCCATCATATGTTCCCTTTATGCTGTTTACCTGACTGGGAAATGGGAAGGGAGTTTGTACATATGTGCAAACATGGAATATTGCAATACACTGCTGTTAGGCCTATATCAACTTTAATATCATTGTAATTATCTTACTATGTTGTACGTATATGCTTAAAGTGTATGATATGTACATACCACTTGAAATATTCAACTTTTCAGCATCTGTGAGCTTAATGGGGTGTATGGAGAAGGAGAATTCAGAACGGACGTTGCGTTTCCTTATATGATAGCTGTAAATAACTTATCACAATTTGTTGCCATGTATTGTCTGGTGCTCTTCTACCGTGCCAATGCAGAAGCCTTAAAGCCTATGAAACCGGTCGGCAAGTTCTTATGTATTAAAGCAGTGGTGTTCTTCTCCTTCTTGTAAGTTTGAAAATTCGCATATAGTCAGCAACAAAATTGTTCGAACAGCATGGTAAGAAATAAATTATCATTAAGAAAATTCTATATTGTATATTGCTATTTATTAAAGCAAGTTGCATTCATGAATGTATGAATGAACGATGACTGCACGTGTGTGTATGAATGTTCATGACATTTAGGATATTCTAGAATATATTGATTATCTGAGATATTGATTTTTGTATTAACGTTGTTCATTTTAATGAATCTAGAATATTCCAAATATACTTGGCGTGTCGTTAAAAATATGGTTTAATAAATAAATATTCCCTTTTGTTGCATTTTCGTGTATAAAAAGTCACTATGTATATAACTGCCGAGTTGATTCTCACACATATGTTATAAAATTTAAAAAATATTTAGCCGTATGCAAATTATGGAACATTTATTGTACCTAAACATGTATAATCTTTGAATATTTTTGTTGCTGGCTGTATATGTCAATTGAAGAATGCATACCCTTAATCGTTTCCGTTTCGAATTGCAGTCAAGGAGTAATCATTTCGTTGTTGGTATACTTCGATGTCATATCAAGTATATTCAACACGAACGATATGGATGATATCAGGAATATATCATCGAAGCTGCAGAATTTTCTAATTTGTATCGAGATGTTCCTGGCAGCGGTGGCTCATCACTACAGTTTTTCCTATAAACCTTTTGTAAATTTAGCACAAGGGCAAGCATGGTGGGATGCTTTCAGGTAGCGACAAGTTTCAAGGCTCAACTGAAAACTTACTTAACACTTGGACAACCGCTTGACAAAAACTATAACTACAATCTTTCTCATTACCTTCAATTGAATGCATTTAACTAATTCTATAAAAAACTGTGATGAACAGAAAAGACTTAGTTCAAGACTTACTAAATAACAAAAGGCAATACGTTGCTAAGGGAAAAATAGAAGACCTCGTTCGGTTGGCTAAGTGTTAAGTTCATACATAATATACATGTTTATTTTTATACCAAATATTTATTGAATAATATTAGTCAATAAATATTCAATACAATTTCAATATTATTCTACATGTCCTATAAGACTTTAAGTCTTAAGACCAAGTTCTGTAACTTCTATAAACTCAATATTATTCGATAAACATTTAATTTTACCCTCCAGCAATATGGAACATTAAAGACCTGTCGAAAATCTCATTTATTCAGGTTTCATTTCAAAATAAAATGAAGATTTCTACTCACAATAAAAATCAAGCCTACTCATAACGAGTCCATATCATTAGCCATCAGTAAACCATATTGCCAATGGGAGGATAATATATTAAATGTTGGGGCACATGTTCAGTAATAAAAAAAAATATTTCCGTTTCTAGGGCCATGTGGGATGTCTCCGACGTGCATAACGACATAAAGGAACACCTGGGTGTCGTGGGATCGTCGTTAAGTCGCAGGATACGCGGTCGCAGTGCTTATCAGCAAGCTTGGGGCAGCGCCACAGAACGCACGTCCCTTTTACCTGAGGCTCCGGTGACCACGGCCAGAAGTGCACCTGCGTGTTCCTTTTCCGGTTACAACACGGCGGAAATCGGACAGAACGATGCCGGTGACCTAATTCCAGATACGCAGGATACGAGTAACACAGTGAAAACGTAACTGAACAGTGATAATTATTTTTTTTCTCGACCACTCAGGATCATCGAACGTCAACGTCGTCGTCTCGTTCGGTACTTCAACCCTTTGAGCGCTGAATGCTCCCAGCCGAAACGTTCCGCTTGGATTCGTTTTTATTAATGATGCAGTATTTTATTATTTTTATAATAACTATTCCACGGGGCATATTTTTTTTCACGCAACTATACAATTTGAAATAAATAAATAGATATTAGTGAATGTATATATTTATTGTTCTAAATGATGTGGTCACGTGAGAAAAAATATGCTGTGTGGAATAATTTTTATAAAAATGAAATACTGCGTTATTGATACATGTTAAAATTATTCAACAAATTCCGTGCGATCAAGAAGATCAAAATACTCATATATACGTCCATAGCACTCAAAGGGTTAACCCGAGCTATTATTTTCTGTATCGCTAGTGGATTGTACGGTTAAACAAAGAAGTCTAGTTTTGCAACGAGCAATCTCCCCCTCCCTTGTGTATTGTACAAATTCTTATTGCCCAGTTCGCCATTACACAGACACATACCACTGTTCATCATGGGAGGCAACGCGTCGCATATATAAATTTAAGGATTTGATACACCATACGTCGCTAACGATAAATGAGCTGCTCATTGAACGAATCATTTTTACATGAAATCACTTTTTAAATTTTTCTTAAATTTTACCGTTAAAACGGCTCATTAGTTCTCAACTTTTTATATATTTAGAATAAATTTTCTTATTATTAGATGTGATACCAGAAAATAAAAATCCAATTGACCATGCAAAACTTGCAGTAGTAATAAAAATTACTTGAGAGTTATAGCATTTTATATATTTCATATATTCTTTAGATTAAAGCTACACCTGTAATAATGAAGTAAAATACATTCTGTAATAATTATTGAATTTTCCATTTAAAGGAAAATTTTGAAAATCAATGTATAGCTATCGCATCACTTTTCTCTACTTTATGGTTTGTGAAGTTAACCGATTTGGCTGAATGAGTGGTTCAAATGTCGGTCTCGCCTCTCGTCCATTTAACGAATACGCGTTTTTTCCTATTTATTTGCGGCCAAATTATCGCGCTTTCGTGTTACCAATGATGTACTACCAAATAATTGTATATAAGAATGTTTATACTTAGAACAATATATCGGTACAGTCCTATTTATAACGTTGCGCTATTTATTGCTGGTTTATTGACCTCTGATGATACTCGGTTGGACAGAGTCGGGCATCATTCGAAATTACGCGTTATCGTTAATTACTCGTTGTTCGTTACGCGCGAACTATTGCTTAAGAAATTAATGTAATCGACTGAACTCTGACCCTGAGTATACCGTAAACAATGAGGAAAAAAGAAATTTCAAACATTCCTGCCAAATGTACATCGTTATTTAATTTTATATCAGCTGCGTTGAATAGGAAATATACGATCAAGAAAAAAGAAATACTCAGATCTACAAATATATATTTTAATATAGTAACGACAAATGAAAATTGACAAATTTAACGACCCCATAGAAAGGGGAAACTCGTCGGGACGAAAATTTTCCTGTGTCGTTAATTCATTGACACACACACACACACTACACACCCCCATCATCGTCATCATCATGTTGACCTATTCCCTCTGTGCAAAAACAGGTGTTAATCATTATAGAGAAGATTCGATGATAAAACAATTTTATTTTGTGTACGTTTAGGAATCGAACGATGATTTTTACACGATTTTCGTATTCGACCAAATAAACGTTTACAAACGCTAGAGGGTGGGTATTGCGGATTTTTGTGAAGCATTCGCCTGAGAGGAGTACGAGTTTGAGATACTTTTATCAGATGTCTGGACCAAAGATAGGATATATTTTATCTCGGAGTACGTAGCATCCCCAAAATTCGAAAGACGAGCGTAGTACTTCTGAAGAACCTAGTAACCTAACGTTGTCAATTAAGTCCTCGGAGAAGGGAAAATATTTTTAATATGTTTCTAACGGGTTGTTTGTAACGTTGCAATGCGTTTGGAATTAGCCATTACTTTGGACCTATGCTAATAACAAGAATAAACTTCATCAGAATATGTTGTGAACTTTACATACATCCCTTTATTTTAATTAATTTCTTATCCATACAACAACGCTTGTTCCGTTCGTCCCAGAAATTGAGACGGTATATACAAAATTCCTGATGACCATTATTATTTTCCACTTTAATTTCCGAGCATATGAAAGAATTAATATTTACAGTTGACCCGACGATTATGCTGTTAATAATACGTGTACGCGAAGCGTCATATTAGAAATATTTTAGTTACTTTGGTATGATTAGTATTGACTAATCGCAATACTGTATTTTCGATGAAGATATCCGCGGAAACGTTTACAAGCATGCAATCAATAAATTTATGGATATCAAAATGCGTTTGAATTGTCTGTGAAATGATTTCTCATGAAAAAGGACGACTAAAGGTCGATCTATTCCGATGAGATGTCGTTCAGCACCGAGGAGAATAAATTAATACCTAAGCATTTGCGCTTTAGCCACCGGGGCTGTTATTTTCTTTTATCACATATCATATGCCTCTGGTATTCAAGTATCTACATACCCAGAACTAAATTATTCACTTCTCTTTATTCAGCGCTTGGATAAATTCTTCTAGTTTCTCTTGAATCTGCCTGACACGTTCTGAAATGTGCATCCAATTTAGTAACGTTTTAAATACTGTTTTATTTTCACTGTTGCATTGAACTCTTTCCACTCGACAATATTTTTCATTGAAAATATTCATTGCTTTCAATCTATGTTGATGCCTTACTCAAAATTTAATACTGAATTTTCAATTTTATAATTTTGGTACGTCGAATCAGTGACCAAGAGTCACCTCTTGAGTGCAAAGAGTTAACATACTTACTGAGTTCTTCGGCTAATGTGACTCTTCTACCAGTTAGTAACTTTTGCTTTATCTCACTGTCCTGACTATAGTCCTCCAACACCTCTTTTATTTCTTTGTCTAGTCTACGTGCCTCGCGATTCATGATTTGCTGTCGAAGCGCATTGGCAGTAACTTTCAGCATCTGCTGGATCCTCCAAAACAGAACTACGTCGCTACATTCCATCTAGAAAGTATTGCTCAATGAGGAACTTAACAGTAATTCTACGGTCTTCCAAAGCTTGTTACACGAAAACCAGTTATCTAATATTATTAAAAATATGTACACAATGGAGGTGTACGTGTAATCAATGTTCACGGTAAAAATAATCAAGATTGATATTAAATTAACGAAGATATACACAAAGAAGATTGATTTTCTTTGAATATTAGTTACTGGACTTGTGCTGTTTCAGAATTCATGGCTTCGATTCTTCTTTTCACATACTTCACTTTCGTGGCCGGTATGGTACAAGTAAAATCCCTTTTTACAATCGTACGCTCTAGCTAAACTCTGCTGTAAGAAAAATCTTCTGTATACGGGATGCCACGTTTCCCGAATAAACTCGTTATCGATTTCTAGGCCATTCCGTTGCAAATTCTTCCTAATGGTTGTTAGCTCGTCTTGTGTGAGAGTAGGTGGGTGTTTCTATTAACAAATATGAATGTATTGATTCATTTAATATTAGAGATTTCCTTGATTTAAAATGATTCCCCAAGTTTTCCTTACTTTGTCTGAATATAAAATCTTGTCTAACTCATTTTTAATCGCTGAACGTTTCTGTTGCTCTTCTGTTTGGCTCTGCCAATACAGCCAACGATCTTTGCGACCAGGGCCTAGCATTTCCCGCAAGATTTGCTCTGTTGCTTGAAATTTCTCTTTGACAGAAGTCTCTAAGAAGCGGACTGCCTGGTCCCAGTCCCTTTTATCGTTCACACTTCTGTCTTCCAAAGTGTTCAGTTGAATGATGCGCAACATCTCAGACGCCTGAATAAATTCGTTTACATTAATCATTACAATTAAAGTAAACTGCATACAAAGTAATGTCATTCGGTATATTTACTTTCTCTTCCCAAGAATGTCGCTTCATCGCTTCAGTGACAACTGAGTTTTTCAGATTGTCGAATATGTCATCGTGGTCGGGATTCAATTTCGCTTTATCCATGAATTGCAGGAATTCTTGTTGCAAACATTCCCACCCACTTTCAACGCTTTTAGCCGGTAGCTGTTGTTCCGCCCAATGTCGGAGTTTTATGTCGACAGTCGTGTTGAACGTACCTGAATTTCCACTTTGCGCAGCAGGTAAGTAAATGTTCTCAAACACGTGCATGCTAACTTTGTCCCACATTCTGGCCAGTAACACTTCGTCCCAGTGTCTTGGCGAAACCTGAGATAAGTTTACAATTTCATCCAGTATTTCACCGCGTGCCTTCTCGAAGAGTTCATCTCTATCCAATTCTCTTAATCTACACAAAACCATCGGAATTACTTTTAATATGTAGTCAATGTTACGTGATTTCACTCAGCTTATAATTTATGAAAGATCATTTACCTGGGATAATTATTCTTCCATTCTGTTTCAAGATTAAATCTAGTCGCTTTAAAAGCATCTGCTTGTTGTTCAACAGTCTCACGAACCATTTTCCAGAAACATTCAGCGACTGCTAGACTCAGATTCCTTGTAGTTACTTGACCAGACATTGCTAAGCCATCCCTGTTTGAATGAATATATATAATTAAATGTATTACAGTTTTATAATATTTGAACATGACTGTGAACGTACTTGAACAGCTTTGAACTCCTGAAGAATTTTTCTTCATGGTCTCTGATGGTTTGTATGCTATCATCCTGTCTGCCACGACCAGTAACAACAGCAAAGTAGCCTAACGCTTTCATAGGAAACAATTTGCCAGACAATATTTTACGCAAACGTTCTGGATTGGCCAGATTTTCCTCTGCTAAATCTACCTAACAAGTTTAATGTACTATAAAATTAATTCCATTACATCTCGAATATTCTAAGTAGTTACAAGTATCACTGTACTATCATTATACCTTTGTCAAAACGAAAATGGTCCGTTTACCAGAAGGATCCATTTGAGCTACAAGATCTGTAACATTACTCCTTTCTGCGTCTACAGACCCATCTTGGATGCAAAGAATAATCGCGTTAGGATTGCTCATGTACTGCTGAGACATTTGTCGAATGGCATCTCGAGTGTCTTCCGCCATGTCAACTGTAACTGTCTGTTGCAAAAGTTTTGTAAGTTTTGAATTGTGTATTTAAGAAATTGTATTAATTGGGAACATTGCTTACACTAATTATACCAGGCAAATCAACTAGAACCATACGTTGAAGACCTGGTCCTTTGACTGTCATTGAAATTACATCCTGACTGACGGTCTTCCCATTCTTAACGCTATTCTTCATGCGTAACTCCACTTCTCGTCTCAGTTCAGCTAGTTCTGATTCTTTCGTTAAATCGAATTCTCTAGAACTATCTTTGAACTGAGCTATATGATAAGGACCTTCACTTAAAGTGACTTTGACTGGAGCTCTTGTCATCATTTCACCACCACCTCTGAAGGCAGATTATTGCAAAGGAAAAAGATAATTGGAGTTTTTATAAATATATTTCAAAGTGGATTGTGGTATATACGCATACCTTGGAAATATTCTGGCCTGAGCAATCATTTCTAAGACTGAGGTTTTACCAGAGCTCTGATCACCGACCACTACAACTCTTGGTAAATGATCAGCAGTAGAATAAGTACTATCGTAATCACTAAGTTCGTCTAAAACGTCACTGTACATATCGATTAAAGATTTCTAGAAAAAGATTATAACAGTGTTACAATACGAATGTCAATGGTCTGTCGTAAGTAAACAAAGAAAGTTGATTACTTTTATTTTCTTGTTGCTTAGTTTTTGATTGCCACGTAAAAGCATCTGCTTTCTAAGCTCTTTATTTTCTCTTTCTAATCTTTCTAGTTCACGTTGATACTTCAATTGCATTTGCATGATTTCCTCTTGCATAGCGTTTAATCTTTGTTGCGAGTTTTCTTTAGAACGGAATTGAAATATTTTCAATCGTCAAGTTGCTAACAGTTTAAGAGGATAAATTTATAATGTGCTAACATGTACATACTAGCTTTCTTACGTTCCTCTTCAATATTGTCATCGATTAATGGCTGAGCGTATGCTGCTTTACTGATTAAAAACTGATCCTTCCCTACTGTACGACAAGATGTTTAGAATTTCGGTGAATTAGGCAAGGTAGCTTGCAAGAAAGCTGGTAATTGCTAACAATAACACTTTACCAACAGGAATTATTTTGTAAGCATATTAATGTTTTTATTATCATAATTATTGAGAAAAAAGTTAGATTAAGCAATTTAATTGCACAAATATCATTGAGAATTTGTATTAATGTTTCCTGTAATTAAATAGTTAGACATATATATGTATATATAAGTGTCAGCAAAGTGTTAATGTTAATGATACACAAGGCAATCAAATACTAAAAATAATGAAAATGTATTTAACTTAAATTATGACCGAAATATTGTCATGATAATGGAAACTTTTAACTAAAAATGAGAAAAACTGGGTCTGTCCCATTCAGTATTTAAGTTTATTT